TCAGAGCTTCTCAGCCTTAGATTGCCAAATCGTTTCTCAGCTTTCATTCCCTCCTGGCACACTACTCAGTGCTGGTTTCTGCTAATTCTCTCCCTCTCCTTCCACTTCAGGTGACAGATCCCACCTCGCAGCTCCCTGAGGATCCTCATCCCATTTTGATCTTTACCTCAAAGTGAAAGAATGTAGAAAGTGTCCTTGCGCATAAGGCCAGCCACTGTGACTGAAGGGTAAATATCATACCACTGCAAGCCTTTAAGCCAAGATCAGGTATTTTTCTAAAAGCTACACTTCTATTCAGCCGTGGCAGCATTGCTGGATGGCTCTCTGTGGCCTCTATCAGTTGAACAATACCCTAAGTCACCTTTTGGAACCGCTGGTGTTCCCAGATGCTACCACAAGACAACAGCAGCATGTTTTCCAGCTCAGCTTCAAATTTCGTTATCTTCCTACCTATGATAAGCTGAACAGCAAATGGGCAAGGAAATTCTCTTTCCTAATCGTTTTGGAGACTATTTCTTGCTAAAAGAGTTTATTCCTCATCTCTCCAGACTTGAAGGTTAACAAAGGCAAAACTGTAACTTAGACCAAATCCACCAGCAGTAATACCAAGGTAGTCCTTCTGCTTTCACAGAAGACGTGAAAGAGGTAAGAAAGGAACATTTGAATGGTTATTAACAGCTTTGTCTCTAAATGTTTTTAACACCTCTGGCAAGCAGCAACAGAAGAATCATTCTGAACACAAGAGGAACTACCAGCAACTCAGAACTGCTTCCACACAAAGCAACTCGTCCAGCACCTGGGAACTCCAGCCTTGCCGCCGATCCCTGAAGACTGAAGCGACTGCAGAAGGTTTTTTGCTGTTGCATCTGGCTGGGATTCTGCGAGCTGCTGAAGCGCCAGCTGCAGGGCTCTGCGGGATGCTGCATCGCTAGAATGAAAAATGTATCTCTGTGAACACTATAAAACCTGCCAACGCTACACATATTACTACACTTGCATCACACAAAGGACTCTGCTTTCTTGTTTCCGCAGTCGAGCTAATGGTTCTTTTATCCTGGCTGTTCAAAGAAGAGGAAAAGTTTCTGGCAGAAAGCTCTATTCCCTTCCTCAGCTGACAGAAGTTATGTCGAGGCTCTCCGGCAGGTTGCAGAAGAACACGAAGAACACACAGGTTCTGAACAGCTCCTCTACAACAGGCCACAATTTAATCCAATCTAAAAGTGTCTAAAAGGTGTCTAAAAGACACCTTAGTCTTGCTTCACAAGGACGCAGGCATTCATTCCTGCAGACTGAACCACAGGATGCAAGTTTTAATTTCAAAATTAAAAGTGAAGCACAAGGTAATCGTTGTACAACTTTTTAATGTCAAACAAATTGAGAGCCTAGTTACTAGATGGCATCTTTCAGTGTCATATGCATCTCTGTGACACTGCATGCTAACATTTCCAGATGCTCCCTCCCAGTTTAACTAATAAATACATTAAGTACCAATAGATTAAATAATACAGCCTTTCTACATTAATTTACTCACCGGTATCGATGCAGAGTAAGGCAGAACAGTTTGCAAAGGCCTTTCACTGCACCCTCTGGAAGATCTGTAACAGATTGTATTTCAAAACATTTCTTCATAAATCACTGAGCTCTTAGTCTTCAACACAAACATCACTCACTTCACAACTGAAATTAGTGAACTGCTTACAGCCCCTATACATCTATGAAATTGTTTGCAAGAATCATAGTCAGAGTTCTCTCTTTTTATACATTTTATGCATATTTTTTAAAAAGGGGCAAAACTGGAACATATGCTATTCCACAGGCATCTTCAGAAAATGAGAGAAATCAAAAAGATTTTTTAAAATTTGTTTCAACTGTTTTATTAAGATTATCTAAAATCTTCCATACACGCCCCCCTCTCTCTCTATATATATGTACCACTAACTGAGAAAGCACACACATTAGTAACTGGAGTTCTGTGTCACCTACAAAACCCGTGCTTACCATTAACACTGTGAGAAAGCATAGACTCTAAATGCTGCCAGCCCCCTGCTTCAAAAACCTACCCCGCAAGTTTCACACAGCCTTTGAAACAAAATATTTTAACATTTTTTCCCTCCCTGGTAACCAGAACATCACCCCAAAGCTTTCACCTTTCGCAGAAATGCATTTTCCCAGCTCACTGAGGATCTCTCTCCGTTCCTTCACGCTGGCTGTGGTTACTTTTACCGCAAACCGCTTCAGTGTATCAGAAATCTAAAACACAGAGAGGAAAAAAATGTCAGACCACCTTCAATATACAGAACACAAAGCCAGGGTGAGCAAAACATGATTTTCCACCACGTAACCTCTTAGTGACCAAATGTGACCACTCATGGTCCTATCCGCTGGGGAAAGGGTCACTGTACATCATACACGATGAAACTCAAAAACCTCTGCCTTTGGCTGAGGGATGACTGCTTTCTGTTTGTTAACCTGTGTGCCTGTCACAGCACTCACGCTCTGCAAGATACATTTATCCCTCTAGAAGTAGGACAGAGTGAGAAGTAAGATCAATAGCCTGGAGTACAGGACCTTTAAAAGCAACAAAAAAAAAAATGCACTTCAGGAACGCAAAGGTGCGTTTCAGCACATGCTGTCTCCTAAAGGCCACACATCCCCGAAGGGGGGCTCTAACTGCAGACGACCCAGGGCTGGCTGTAACCACCCATCCTGAAAAACAGCTGTGGTTTCAGGTTGTCAATAGTTGTGAAATTCTGTGCACAGGCCCAGCAAAAGAACAATCAGCTCGCCTTTAATCTTTTCCGGAATTAACATGCACGTCACAGGAATTTTGTAAATTGGACTCACCAGGTTACAAAAGGTTGCGCCTCGCTATCAAACTCCTTCTACACGCTATCAGTAGCACCCAAGGTTACCCAAGCAAAACGAAAAATCACATCACACAACTGAATGGTTTTTTTCATGCCTGCGCTACTGCGTGTCAGGATCTGCCAGCAGGAAGGGACCGAGACCCCTCACCGAGTTTAACTCCTTTAAATAGTTTTAGTTTTCAAGTGGTATCAAGACAACGAGATACACCGTCTGAAAAGACTAGAAAGAAGTTTAAGTTCTCAGCAACCAGCTCCTTCAACTACTGAAACCATTTCCATGAACTTCTAAGTTTTGCAAGATATGCAAGACAAAAGACTTTGTGTGGGCTGAACAGGGCTCAGCCAGGTCTACGCTCACGGGTTTTCTGCATTTACATAAAACAAAACACGGCTCTCCAGGAAAGGCTTTTAAAATTCAGCTCTTAAACTGAGCAGTTTTAGATCCTAATCATCATCATCTTTAGGAAGGGCAGCAAATAAGCATTGCCTTTAGAAACTCATCAAAACTGTTCCTTTCCTCTTCAGGCAAAATTCCACCAGTTTTGGCACAAGTCTTTTCCTAAGTGCAAGAAGCCTGGCAACTGAGAAACAGCAATTGCCTCCACCCTTCCCAAGAGCTGCTCTCACTGACGCTTTTTTGCTGACATGCAGGCAGGGTAATCCCCCGCAGCAGCTACCTGGGATTCGGAGAAGCCATCCAGACCACCCACCCCCACCCTGTGACCATCTCACACCCTGAGCTCTCCTTAAAAACTGGCTGAAAGCTGGGCTCCACCTCTGAACGGTAAGGTACAGGGCGACCTGTGGAGGACGACCAACATCGTTACCATCAGAACTGACAGAACAAGCTGCCATTGAAGAGCTCCTCTTCTTTCAGACCTTTCAATTACATGAGTTCATCATATGCAAACTGAAACCAAGCTACACTTACTCATCCCGCTTAATCACAAGCAGGGAGATGTACAGACAAGAAAAACACATTAAAATTATCCCAACAGCCTAGAAATTAAAAATATAAATCATGTATAACACTACAGAACTTCCCAAGCAGTTTAGTGACTTACACAAATAGCACAAATTACGACTGCCCACAGAAGAGCTGCTGGGACAGGCTTCACCCATTTGCTTTTTCTTTTTATTAGGATGTATAACACGTTAAAAAGTTAAAATGCAAGCAATGCTGCTGCAAACAAGTACAGAGAAAAAAACGTGGTATTTGTCCTAGTAAGGACCTCATACTGAGAAGGCCGGAATTTACCTTGGGAACCCCCAACCCAAGACACCGAGCTGGAGACAGAAACCCATCAGTGTGTAAGAGGTGACCTCGGGCAGCCCGGGCACTCGGGAGAGGCATCCCCAGCAGGCCCCGCTCAGCAGCCCGGACCGGGGACAACGCTTGGCTTCTCCTCCCTTTCTGGACAGGAGCCCCGCGGCCGCCGCGGAGGCGCTGCAACAGGGGGGAGCGCCGCGGGCCCGGCGCAGGGCCGGCAGCGGCAGCACACGAGAGACAGCGGCCTTGTGCCAGTCGTTTATGGGGAACTCACATCGGGAGCGGGCGGGACCCTCCCGAGCGCGGCAGCCGCCGTCCCTCGCCCCCCTCCG